CTGCTGCTGCTGCTGCCGCTGCCCGGGGGCGGGACAGGATCCCCAGCCGGGGCTGTGGGTGCGCAGAGCGGTTACCCTCCCCGGTGTGCGATAGGGGATCTTTATTCTGAGAAAGAAGCGAGGCCGGGTTTGGACGGAAATGCTTTTCAAAGTTTCCTCTGGGAAGTAAAACCATTCGTACGCTCATCTTTACAAAATAGACTTCTCTGACCAGAACTACTTCTCCCCCAGGTACTATCTGCAAGGAGTGTGTCGGGAGGGAAGTAAGTGTCTGTTCTCGCATGATTTATCTACAAGCAAATCCTCTACCATCTGCAAGTATTACCAGAAGGGACAGTGTGCCTATGGAGCTCGGTGCAGGTAAAGACCTGACTCTTTTTGGAATAGCGAGTTCAGAAGAACTGGGCATAATAATCACGTGCAGTCATCTTTAAACCCCAGGGAATCATAGATCAAGAAAAGATAACGTGACAAAGGGAATTAAATAATATCTTAAATATGAGCTTTTTCTCCCAGTACCAAAACCAGCTTATGGATCCAATGTTATAGTTTTAATCTGTCTTGGCTTCAGCAATTATTTTACTCTGTAGAAATTAAACTTTAGGTTTCACATATGTTTTTCATCCAGTTCTTGTTGTAGTAAGACCTATTAAATGCAAAAAACAGAGCCTGCACCTTCACATGAAATAGCATTTGGTGGCATGGTTTGCTGTCTGTATGACTGAGGTGGCTGGAAGCAGGCAGTGTTTCGCTCAGTCCTGATGTAGCTCATAGCCTCCTTCATGCAGATTCTAATACACAATTTCGAGGACTTTCAGTTCTGTCTTAGAGCAAAGTGGTTTTCTCACGGTCCCCTAGATTTGGTGGGAAAGCTGAACAGTACCACACCTTTTCCTGAAATCTTCTGGTTAAAACTCCTTAAGAAATGCTCTAGTAAATACTATGCGTTAATTAATGTTGTTACATTCCATCAGGGACGTGCCACAGGGCAGCCCCTGGCTCCTTTGTGGAAAAATTCTGGTCACAGATGAGAAGCCTGTGTTTGTACCTTCACCCGACAAGAACAGGCGATCTCACAGCACTGCTGATTGCAACAGCTTAGTTGTGTTTCCTTTCCTTTGCTTAGGTCATGGTACCAAACTTGGATCAGGAGACTGATGAACATTAGTGGTTTCTGCAGCTTCCATTAGCTGCTCACATTGAATTAGTAACGTATAATGTTGCTGACGGCCGTGTTATTCATGGCGACCACGTCATACCCTGACTGGACCGTAATGATGGCTGCAAAGTGTGTTGTGGTTTTACTCCAGCTGTTTTGCTGGAGTTTGGGGCACTCTGCACATAAGCAATGCATGCGTATGGCAAGTACAGGACCAGAAACAGATGTGGAGGATATTTTTGTTGCCATCAAAAATATTCTAGCGTTCGGGTATGTCCATGGCTTTAGTGGACCAGCCTCTTTACTGCACTGGTTGCTTCTGCTCTGCTGCTGGAGTATATTTCTATAGCTTCACTGGATGTTTCCAGTTCTTTCCTGTCCCACTTGCAAATACTGCATCTTCTCCTGTGGTGTGGCAGCATAAAGTCTAAGTGTTGCTGCTTGCAGGGGGAAACGGAGAGCACGAAATGTCACTCCTTCCTGCACAGCGTTTTGATGTTGCTTCTCTGAGAAATGCCAGCAGACCTGTTTGTGTGAGGGGATGACGAAGATCTAATTTAATATGCACATGAATAATGTTCTTTCAGCTATGCTGCGTGTCTCTAGAGAAGAAAATATAGGCGTGCTTTCAGAGGCATCCATTTTTTGAGACTGAGAAACCTTTTAGTCTGGCTTTAAGAGAGACTGAGCAGTTCAGTCCACTTGTCAGAACAATCCTTTAAAAAAAAAAGTAGCTATTCATTTTTATTTTGTTTAAATATTTGTCAGGGCCACTGTCCCACCACTGTGCCAACTTTCGCCTTTGTAACACTTCTGTCTTTTTCCTTTCGCAGGTATGATCACACCAGGCTTCCTGCATCAGGGGGTGCAGCGGCCCCCGCGCCGCCTCCCCTCTCATCGGCAGCGCTGCACAACCCGCGCCATCCTCCCGAGCACAGCGCACCGATAATCAGGAGCAAATTGCATGAGACTGGCAAACGGGAGAAGAAAACCCTAGTGCTCAGGGACAGAAGTGAGTGGGAGTGGTGCTGTGCTCATCCTCCTTGGTGCTTGATAGGAGTTAGGTAGTTTTTCTCCTTTTATTGCTTGACTTTTGTGGACAGCTGGAGAGGTGCAGTCGGACTTCCTACCCGATGAGGCCTCTTTCCTGGAGACGCTTGTGCCTGTCAGTACCTTTTACTGACCATGTGTGGCTGACTGGCTTTTAGCCTGGTGTTCCCTGAAGGACGGGTTTTGTTTTGGGGGATTTTTTGGTATGTTTTTTTTGTTTTGATTTGAGTTTTTTGGTTAAAATATCTCTGCGCCTCTGATCTTTTTGTGCATTTTGTTCTCAATGTGAGGGCATTTGAAATGGTGAGAAACCTGGCTGCTCTGTGCCAGGGTACCTGGCATGTGCTCTCCGGAGGATTGCGCCAGCCCTTAGGAATGTGAGCACAGAGACATCTGTCCACGCCTGACAGGCAGGGCAGAGGACCGAGTGCCCTGCCGCCTGCACGCTGTTCCCACCTGCTCTCACTGTTGCACCAAAGGGGCCAGTTGCCCTAATGTGAAATGAGAGGATTTTTTAGCCTGTTATTTGTAAACAGAAAGCAGCTGAAGAAATCTTGAAATCGAACTTTTCAGTAGGTAGTTTGAGAAAATTCTTGTGATTTGTGAGCAAAAGGGGCTTAGAGATGAGATTTCATTGAGAAGAAAACTTTTTTTTTTTTTTTTTTAAAAAACAAGTAATCATTGGGAAGTATATGGAGCTTCTTGTGTAGGTCTTGTGCAGTGTCTTGTTATGTTCATGTTATGTTTCTGTTTCCTAAGATCTGTGTGGATTGAATGAAGAAAAGCAGAAGCCCAATGCTACAAGCGATGTGGTGTGTTGCAGTGACCAAAATGATAATCTGGAAATGAAGCCCCATTCGTATTTGGAAGCTATCTGCAGCGGACTGGAAGATCCGGTAGCTGGAAGCTCCTGTGCTGACGGAGAGCAGCTGTGCCCTTACGCTGCAGCGGGAGCGTGCCACTTTGGAGATCGCTGCCTTTACCTCCATGGAGACGTGTGTGAGATATGTGGATTGCAAGTTCTTCACCCTTTTGACCAAGAACAGAGGAAGGCTCATGAGATGGTAATATTAACATGAAATCGGTGTGAGATTCGCTTTGCTCAGTGCAAGATTTGGTTTGTTTGCTCTAAAATCCAAAGATGTGTTTTGTAGAAGAGCCTGTTGTTCCGAAGAGCTTTTGTTTTATTGTTTATCTAGCTATAAGTGATTCTAAGAGTGGTCTGTTCAAGCATCTAGGACTTAATTGGTAATGGTGATACAGATAGCCTTTTACAGCAACTTGTTTTTTTCCCGTTTCATCCTTATGGGAAACTTGCCTGCAGCCTTCTCCCAGAACACCCTAAAACTCTGCCAGGAAAATGTCTTTTGTAGCTTACGCGACGTCTCAATGGTACATTACGTATAGTGGGGGAGAGGCACTGGGGGCTGCTGGTGCGTTCCGAGGTGTCGCCCTGCCGCCTTGCTGAGTCACCTCTTCAGGTGTCCCTCCTTGGTTGCGGCTGATTTCAGAGCAGGGTCAAGTAGGGACAGACTGAACGGAGTACAAAGATTTTGGAGCGGAACTTGAAGTAGGACGGCTGGAGGGACTGGATGGGGAATTAGTTGGGTAAAGATGGGCTTAAGGGGCTGCTCTTTTCTCTGCCTGGCTACCAGAATTAGGTCAGGGCTGGTCAGGAACAGGAGTTCTCAAGGCTGAGGAGGAGAAAGACCAGCAGCAGCAGTGGCTACTGAATCATAAGTGTCTCCAGAACCTGGAGTAGAATCCAAGGGGTTAAAAAACCTCAGGTTTTGTGCAGTTGGCATATACTTGCAAAACCTGCTGGTGTAGGAGTTCTCGTTTGTCCTGGAGCTCGTGGATATCTGGCAGGGTATCCCGTCACCCCTGCTGTCAGGTGCTCGGCTCCGGCAGCAGAGGTGTGTGTTGGATGAGAAGGTGCAGCAGTCAGAATGCT